CATCACTTGATGTCCTTGTTTTCACATCCATTCACACCGACTCATTAAGTAGGTGATGATGGGTCTCCACCTTTTCTATTTTGGTAGATCTAAGTACATTTTGACTCTTTACGATCTCTATCTGGTATTTTCTGACATCCATTTACACCAGACGTGTTATGTGATTATGGTTCTCCACAACTTCCTGCTTTTCTTACTCTAAGTAGTTTTTGACTCTTTATTATTACCCTTTGACTTTGTTTTGCTCTCAATTCATTCAAACGTGTTAAGGGATTATGGCTCTCCACAACTTTCTCAATTTCTTGCTCTAAGTAGGTTTTGACTCTTTAGTATCCTTCTTTGTCTTTGTTTCGACATCCATTCACACGAACGTGTCAAGTGATCATGGCTCTCCACAACTTCCTGCTTTTCTTACTCTAAGTAGCTTTTGACTCTTTATTATTACCCTTTGACTTTGTTTTGCTCTCAATTCATTCAAACGTGTTAAGGGATTATGGCTCTCCACAACTTTCTCAATTTCTTACTCTAAGTAGGTTTTGACTCTTTAGTATCCTTCTTTGTCTTTGTTTCGACATCCATTCACACGAACGTGTCAAGTGATCATGGCTCTCCACAACTTCCTGCTTTTCTTACTCTAAGTAGCTTTTGACTCTTTATTATTACCCTTTTGACTTTGTTTTGCTCTCAATTCATTCAAACGTGTTAAGGGATTATGGCTCTCCACAACTTTCTCAATTTCTTGCTCTAAGTAGGTTTTGACTCTTTAGTATCCTTCTTTGTCTTTGTTTCGACATCCATTCACACAAACGTGTCAAGGGATCATGGCTTTCCACAACTTCTTGTCTTTTCTGGGGCTACGTAAATTTCTATAATTTAGCATCACTTGATGTCCTTGTTCTGATATCCATTCTCATTAAGTAGGCGATGACGGCTCTCCACTTTTCCTATTTTTGTAGCTCTAAGTATATTTTGACTATTTACTATCCCGCTTTGTAAGTTTTTGCCATCCATTTACACAGCCTTAAACATTAGTTTTAATGATGTAAATAATATTTTATTTCGTCCTAATACTTTGCTTAGTTTCTGGAAAACATATTTCGCTGTTCCCAACTGCTGTCTCTAAGCGGAAATATGGGTCTTGTTTTATCCTTAATTTCCTTAAAACTTGCTTCTTAGTATCTGTCTATTTTTTCTGAGATTAGGTATTATGTACACAATTGTCCTCACCTTTGTTGCCATATTTATCACA